TCTTCAGCTTCAACTTGAACTTGCATATGAGCAGTTGATGGTCTGTTCCACAATCAGCTCCTGGCCTTGTTTTGGCTGAAGATATTGAACTTCTCTTGCCACAGATGTAGTCAATCTGATTCCTGTGTACTCCATCTGGTTAAGTCTGCATGTATAGCCACCGTTTATGTTGCTGAAATATTTGCAATGAGTAAGTCGTTGGTCTTGCAAAATTCTATAATGAAATCTCCAGCATTATACCTATCACTAAGGCCGTATTTTCCAACTATCAGTGAATCTTCTTTGTTACCAACTTTTGCATTTCAATTACCAGTGATAATCAATACATCTTGATTGTATGTTTGGTCAATTTCAGACTACAGAAGTTGGTAAATATCTTCAGTTTCCTCATCTTTGGCTTTGGTGGTTGGTGCGTAAATTTGAATAGTAGTATTAACTAATTTTCCTTGTAGGCATATGGATGTTACCCTATCACTGACAGCACTGTACTTCAGGATAGATCTTGAAACATTCTTTGTGATGATGAATGCCACGCCATTCCTCCTCACTGTCATTTCCAGCATAGTAGATCACATGGTTGTCTGATTCAAAATGGTCAAAAACAGCTCATTTCTGCTCACTGGTGCCTAAAATATCGATCTTCACGTGTTCCTTTTCATTTTTGACAACTTCCAATTTTCCTAGATTCGTATTTCGTACATTCCATGTTCTGATTATTAATGGATGTTTGCAGCTGTTTCTTCTCATTTTGAGTTGTGCCACATCAGCAAATGGAGATCCTAAAAGCTTTACTCCATCTATATAATTAATGTCAGCTCTACTATGAGGAGGCAGGTCTTCCCCAATCGTATCTTCAGTGCCCTCCAACCTGAGGGGCTCATCTTCTGGCACGACACTGGACAATGTTTCATAAAGTTTTCCAGTAATATATAAGAGAGTTTCATTGCTATTCATAAGGTTTTCTCTGGCCAATTCTTTGAGATGTGGTTGGCCCCTTCCAAGTCTGTCTTAGTCTGTGAGCTCCACTGAAACCTGTCCACCATGGGTAACCCTGCTGGCATCTGAAACACCAGTAGCATAGCCTCCAGCCTCACAGCAATACGCAAGTCACCACAGTAGGACAAATAGACAGACGAGTTTCTCTCCCTTAGCTGTTTTGAACCATTCTGCTCATTTCCTGTTCTCCCTCACTTGGTCTGAACCGCCACCCGCCCCACTTCCTGGTCTATCTCCTCCTTCAAACTGCTCTGAATCGCAATGCCGTGGCCCCAGCCTGGCTTCCTGGTCTGTTTCCTCCTTCAAGCTGCTCCAAATTTTAGAAAGTAAACACTCAAATAATTGCAACATCTCCATCGCACAGAATGATGGTGATGCAACCAGCCAACACGTACTGATGGTAGCAGTTTAAAATGTCTTCTCATCAGCTATTGTACAAAAGCCCAAACTCAGTTTAGGAACGTGCAGTGCAGTGAATTGTTTATTATGGCCCTTCTAGCCATAGTCCTCCATTTTATGATGCATTACAAATCCTAATCCCTATGCCTGTTTAGACTGGCATGCATCTTGATTCCTGCCTTGCTGAAGGGTGTGACTCGAGTCACCACACATTTTGTGATGTACTGTAAATCCTATTCTCTATACCTGTTTAAGGAGCTCTGGTGGCGTAGTGCCTAAGGCATTTGACTGCTAACCAGAAGGCTGGTAGTTCAAACTCACCAGCCACTCTGCAGAAGGAAGACTGGGCAATCTACTTCTATAAAGATTTACCGGCTTGGAAACCCAACGGGGGTCACTATGAGTCGAAATTGACTTGATGGCAGTGAGTTTGATATTTTTTGATGCCTGTTTAGGGTGGGATGTATCTTGAGTCCCGCCTTGCTGGGGGTGTGACTCAAGTCACTACCCATTTTGTGATGTATTGTAAATCCTATTCTCCATGCCTGCTTGGGAGCTCTGGTAGCATAGTGCCTAAGGCACTTGACTGCTAACCAGAAGGCTGGCGGTTCAAACCTACCTGCCACTCCTCGGAAGGAAGATGGGGCAATCCACTTCCGTAGTGATACTGCCTCGGAAACCCAAGGAGGGGTCTCTATGAGTCGGGTCTGACTCGATAGCACATAACAACAACAACATGCCTGCTTAGGGTGGGATGTATCTTGACTCCTGCCTTGCTGGAGGGTGCGACTCAAGTCATCACCCTTAGCTTCTTTTGGGATATATATGTGAATGTCCTGGGAAAGCTGGCTCTCTCTTGCTCCAGTTCTGCATTTGGTTTATCATCATCTCACACCTGGACCTGAGACGGCAGCTGTCATCTGAGCTGGCGATTTGGGTTCACCAACCCATGCTACCACATGAGTTGGGAGGATTCTCCAGACCTAACAGCAGACCTGGGACTTACCTGCCTGCCAGCCTCCATTACTACTACACCACGTGAGCTATTTCCTTGGGAGTTTGAGTTCTGTGAGATGTTACAGCGAACTACGGAACCTTAAGACGGGAGGGAGGTTACTGAGGGGTGGAGGAGAAGCTGATATCAGAGATGATGGAGTGGCATAAGAGTTTGGAAAAACTGGATGTGTGGGACATCTTAAACCTCTACCTCATTGGGACTGCCCTTGTGCTGATCTTTCTAAGAGAAATTATTCAAGCAGAAAGACAGTTTAGAAGTATCACTGGATAGTTTAGGTTAGATGATGGCCTATAATCTCTTTAATATATAAATAAATAATAACTAATCTCTTTAATAAATAAAGACAACTCTTTAATAAATAAATACAGTCTTTCTTCCCTGCATTTTATCAAGCCAACAAAACTGTGTTTCTCTAGCTATATTCCTTCCTTGAAATTATGTATACGCTTGGATAAAATAGCTGTAAATTGGTGTTCAAAAGGATAACACTGGAAAAATATACACCTTAGACACACACATCAGCATAACAACTTTGCAGTCTGTTCTTTTGAACTAGCTGTTTCAAATATTCAGAGCTAAACTCAAGCTGAAATCAATCATTTGGTCTGACAGAGATTTTATGACGTTAACTCTCTAAAATCATACTTCTTTTGCTACTCAGAAGCTGATCCTGATTTGTAATATTATCAGTTCTTTGCTGTGGAAGATTAACCTGTCTTCTGGCTTAATTTTTCTCTATGAATTAATCTACACCTGTTACTTTGGAAAAATATGCAACGTGAAGTTTAATCCTTTTATGCAACTGATGAAGCAAAGCAAAATTACTTCTTTTTTATTAATCAGTTGTCTCAATTTCCAGTTTATAGGCATATACCATCTAAAATTTGTATAAAGCATGAAAATGAGTTATTAAGCTCAGTTTCTTAGTATATCATTAGCTTATTTATCCCCATGTCTTGGCCAGCTACTTCTTTGCTTCTTACCTATTTTTTTATCCTTCTTATTCATAACAAGTTGATGCAGACGTTCCTTTAGTTTATTATATTCACGTTCTTTTCTCTTCATATCGTGATTATATTGAGTAGCTCTACTTGCAATGATATTCTGTAATTTTTGTACCTGAAAAACAGCATTTTTATTAAATGGATCCCTTTAGGTTTCATAAACCTACTTAAAACATTACAAATCCAAAAGAGAAAAGAAGTCCTAGTATTCATATCCCCATATATTAAGTTTAAATTTTCTAGGATTGTTCTTTCTCCTCTATGAGCACAAGTCACATTTTTAAAAACTACTAAATGAGATGCTAAATTTCTAAAATATCTTCTATACACACTTTACCCTACATATAAGCTTTGACAATTTAGAAAGCATAAACACTTACAGAAATATTAAAGTGATTAAAGCATCATCTAAAATGGACAGAATTCATCAGATCATTATTAGTGACAATCTTATACTACTGACTTGCAATCACTTTATTTTCCATCAATCTGTACCAAGGTGAATTAGCCAGTGGCACATGGCAACAAACAGGCTCATTTTTCTCTAATCAAGAAAAGCTCTCAAATTAAAGTAAGTCCAATGAGCAGAAAGAATCTAGTTCAATTATTTGCTGTATGCCTATTACGTGCCAGACACTGCTGTTCAATACATGTTATACAGCTTTCAGGCAGATCTTATTGGAAGCATATTCTAGACTACATAGATGTTTTTAAACCCTGCCAAAGATTAACATGATTAACTTAATCTCTGGTATAGAGAACTATCTTCACATTACTTACATGTATTTGACAGATCAAGTCATTATTTCTGTGAAATAACTCAAGGAAATGTTTAAGTGACATTAATTACCAACTTACTAAATATACTACTAAATAATCAAACACAATAAAACAAATTTGTCTAAATTACAAGGGTCCTTAAAGAGATATGCTACCCTAAAAGTCTTTTAATTAGAATTAAAGCAACATAATACATTACTGAAGTATTCAAGGATCATACTGCAGAGCAGAAAAAAAAAAAACCCCACAGTTTCTTCTTACATAAATTAATTTAAGATACAACGATTGGTCTGTACTCATCCAAGGCAACAGAAAAAGAAGGAAACCAAAGACTCAAAGAATAAACTAGTCATCAGCACTAACAGCTTACATGAACAATGAGACCAGAAGAACTAGATAGTGCCCAGCTGTGGTGTAGTGAATTACTTGGTATAGCTCTTCAGGCCACTGTCTTTGTGACTCCTACCAGATTACTGGGTGGAACTATGCAAATATAAAGTGCTTGTGGCCCACCAAGAGGATTAGTTAGTTAGTAATGTCAATAAGGTACATGGCACCTTTGTGGGAGTAGGACCATGAAAAGAAAATATATGGAACTCTAATGTGGAGATTGGTTAGTTTTGTCATTCTACGAGTCTTAAAATGAGCCCTCTTAGAGGAAGACGGGAGGATATCTCACTACCATGAAGAAAAAGAAGCAAGAGTGGGGCGAGATCCCTGTGTTGAGATGGCAGAGAGACGGCAGTAACAAGCAGTGGCCCAGAGAACCCAGAGACTGGCACTAGACAAAGTGGTGGTGAGAAAGCTGAGTGAGTGCTTTTTGGCATGAGACTTGCAGGTGGAGGAGGGTGCACCTAGCTTTCTAAAACTTGCCTGAGCAGGGCAGAGGCCAGGCCAAGTGGCCAAGGGGCAGAAAGGTATGCCTGAGGGCGTAGCAGAGGGGAGCCTGTCCTGATCGAAGAATTGTATCCTGAGAGTGTTGCTAAATCTGAATTGCAGCCTGTTGTTGTTGTTGTTGTTAAGTGCCGTCGAGTCGTTTCCGACTCATAGTGACCCCATGCACAGCACAACGAAACACTGCCCGATCCCACACCAGCCCCACAATCCCTGCTATACTTGAGCCCATCATCGCAGCCACCGTATCAATCCATCTCGTTGAAGGCCTCCCCCTCTTTCATAGACCCTCCACCCTACCAAGCATGACATCCTTCTCCAGGGAATGGTCCTTTCTTACAACATGACCAAAATAGGTGAGACGAAGTCTGGCCATTCTTGCTTCCAAGGAGCATTCTGGCTGCACTTCCTCCAGGACAGATCTGTTAGTTCTTGCAGCCTGTTACTTCCTTAATAAACCCCACAATCATAAGTATTGTCTACGAGCTCTGTGTGGCCATTGCAACGGATTATTGAACCCAGCAGGGAAGTAGTGAGTGTCATGGGAGGCAGCTGATGTCAGAATTGGTAAAATGTTCAGAGAGTGGCAGCATGTCTGGCCTCACAGGAATATACCTTGGGTGATTCTCTCTCCCCGACATGAAGTTAGAGAAGTCAGAGGATGCCGCGCTCATGCCCGAATTTTTACACTAGCTATGACTACCAAATTTTCTGACCAGGGACACAAAAGATGGTCCCCGATAAAATGGGAGAAAAATGTTAGACCAAACTCAATTTCCGAAGAGGTCAGACTTACTGGACTGACAGAGACTAGAGGAATCACCAGGACTATAGCCCTGAAATACCCTTTAAACTTAGAACTGAAGCAATTCCCAACTACTTTCAGTCAAATTACAGACTGGCTCCTAAAATAAACATCACCCGTGAGTACTGTGCTCTTTTAAAGAATTATCTCTGTAAGACTAAATGGTCAACATTTAACCTAAAGCAAAGATGAGAAGGTAAGAGGGGGACAGAGAAGCTAAATTAACGGAAACAGAAAAAGGAGACTGGAAATGAGAATGCTGAGACATTGTGAAAAATGTAAACAATGTCACTGAAAAATATGTATAGAAATTGTTAAAAAGGAACCTAATTTGCCATGTAAACTTTTACCAAAAACACAATAAATTATAAAGTTAAATTTTTAAAAAATAATTTAAAGTGTATTAACTCTATAGGCTCTTAGTTATCTTTAAAAAAAAAGAAAGAAAACAAAACAAAAAAAACCCAAACTCACTGCCATCAAGTCAATTCCGACTCATGACTGCCACTGGGTTTCTGAGTTGGTAAATCTTTACAGAAGTAGATTGCCTCATCTTCCTTCCATGGAGTGGCTGGTAGGTTTGAACCACAACACTGATTAGTACTCAAATGCCTTAGGCACTGCACCACCAAAGCTCCTTGTCTTAGTTATCTAGTGCTGCTCTAACAGAAATACCACAAGTGGATGGCTTTAACAAACAAATTTATTCTCTCACAGTTTAGGAGGCTAGAAGTCCAAATTCGGAATACCAACTCTTGGAGAAGGCTTTTTCTTCTGTTGACACTGGAACAAAGTCCTTATCTGCTTTCCAAATCTGTGGGCCCAGCATCCCTTGGAGATCTCCTTTTGTTCTGACATCAATACCCGCCTGGGTCTAGGAAGTTCTTAACACAGGGCTGCTGGGTCAAAAGGACATGCTCTGCTCCCAGCTCTTCTTTCTTGGTAGTGTCAGGCCCCCCAATTTCTGCTGGCTTCTCTCTCTTTTTATCTCTTGTAAGATAAAAGGTGATACAGGTCACAGCCCACAGACTAGATCAAGAATGTGTCCTGAGTCAGGGTGTTGCATTCCATCTTAATCCCTTTAAACTGACTGGCTGATCACATCAGATCATATCATGGGGGGAGATTACATCATTATGTAACTGCCAAACCACTGAGAATCATGGCCCACCCATGCTGACACGTTTTTAGGGGGATACAATTCAATACGTGACATTCTAACCTTTGGTCTCCAAAAATTCATGTCTTTGCCACGTGCACAATTTCACTCCATCATGTCATACCAAAAATCTTAAATCAATTCCAAATGCCATCCTGGGGCAAAATTCCTCTTCATTTGTGAATCTAGAATGTAAGTTATCTGCTTAGAAAGCACAGTGGAAGAACAGGCACAAGGCAGACATTTCCATTACAAACAGGACAAATTGGAGGGGAAAAAAGGGGTAACAAGCAACAGGTAAGTAAAAAAAACTCAGCAGAACAATGTATATTAGCTCTCAAGGTTTGAATAATCCTTTGGTCTCTGAGATCATCCAGGTAATGGCCCTGCCCTCCAGATTCTGGATGTTGGCCACTGTGTTAGACTGGGTTCTCTAGAGAAACAAAACCAGTAAAACTTATATATATATACAGAGAGAGAAATTTATCTTAGGAAAATGGCTCACACACTTAGAGAAGCTGGCAAGTTCCAAGTTATTGGATCAAACGTCAAGCTGGAGGCTTTTCGCTGTCAAGCTGGAGGCTTTTCCATGTCAAGCTGGAGGCTTTTCGCGACTGACTCATGCAGCTTCAGGGGCTGACAAGCTCAAGGTTGGCAGGCAGTATACTGGCTGTTGACTCCAACGAATGACAAATCCAAGATCTCCAGGCCGAATGGTGGATTGTTCGCTTGCAGACAGTTGTAAGCAGCCCAACAAAATCCCAACCCACAGAAGAATGTCTCTTTTTCCAGGGTGTCCATAAATATACGGGAAGCAGGCCACACCTCTAGCGAAACTCCCTTTCAATGGATTGGCTGCTCAAAACATATTCATTCATCTGATCCCATCAAGGGAATAACCACATCACAACTGCTTAAACCACACAGAATTGTGATCCAGCTAAGTTAACACACAGCTCCAACTATCATAATCCACCCCTTGTCAACTTGGCAGTTGTACACATCTTCTTAACTATATATAATCGCTAAATAAGGACAATTATAAAGTCATATTTGCACCTAACATGATACACTAACAAACATACAACCGAAACGCATTAACTTTATTTACATTTCACAGTTCATAACAGAAGGAAACAAAAATATTTGATGCACATATATAATGATGAAATATAACAATCACAGTCCTCATTTCTGCAACTGGTCATGTGCTCGTAGCTGATATTCAGAACTACCTTCTTCCACCACCCATTCTGTATTTCCCTTGCCCTCAGCAAGCATCTCAGATGGTCACGATTCTTTGTCTGGTGGGGTGACCCAAACTTTCATTCCTGAAGGGCCTGGCCATTAGTAGTCTCAGAATTGGGTTGCTGTGATTTTCCATTGACTCTAATCACAGGGCATGGTAGTAGTAAGAGACATCCTAAAGAATCTCCTGTATTCCAGACATATTCTTCTTTACCTCCATTATGTAAAG